AATCTTCTGTTCAGTAGATCATCCGGTATATCTCCCTTAAACGGGAGGCTAATGTAAACTGGTTTCCTTCCAGCTGTGGCTGTGATGGTTCTGTGATGCTTCTTCCCTGTTCAAATGCCTTGTACTATACTAAACTTGGAACTCATTGTCTCTCAGGACGTTGGTCAGAGTTCGGAATTCTTGTTCTGGCGCTTCATCAGAGCATATTTTCTTCGCTCTGTTAGTTAGGCTATGGATCAGGTTCCGTTTCCGCTTTAGTGGCACGAACATGCTAAAGTTAATGTATTGCCCGAACCTAGTAGGTTTTCGGTACACCGATCGTTTCAGTGTACCATCGTGACGTCGTTCAAGGCCAACATCTAGGAAGTGGAAGAAGTTGTCGGCTTCTCCTTCTGAAGTGAATTGAATGGCGGTGTGTGCCTTCTTGAACTGTTGTTGGAGCGATTCCAATTTGCCTTTATTGGTAACAACAGCGAAGATATCGTCTACATACCGACGGTAATATTACATATTCTCTACGTTAGTCTTTAAGGGGCCATTTTCAGGTTTACTCATGAAAATGTCGGCTGGCATTGGGCCCAGTGGTGAGACCATGGCAACGCCATCAATTTGACGGTAGAGCATGCCATTGAACCGTAGTTGCACATTGCAGTGGCTGAAGCTATCGCCATACGACATCGCGACCCCATCCTTTGTCGGCAAAAACGCTTCGTTCGTGTGTTGTACTTACCATGGTCCAACTCACCTTCCCTCACATATACACCTTGTGCTGAACACACAACTACAGCACCCCCGCGCTGACTAGCTCAAGTCACCCTATTGGTGACCTGAACTAATGGTTCTTTGATAGCTAGCCAATGTCGTCTCCCACTCGATCCCCTGTCCATTTACACCATACTCATTCAAATGCGTTAAATACTGCTCTCTTAACCTTTGCACTTGTATGACTTGAAAAGACCTTGCCGAAAACATGTGTTCTCATTATAAATGGAAATTTTTGGAGCATTATTATGTCATTGTGCCCGACGCATTGAGACCCATAGAGGATGCGTGTGACATCACCATTGTGCTGGCAATCTGTGTGGCTGTTCCACCCCTCACTCTGATGGGAAAAGTCACGTGACTTCAATGCCTGACTGAGATGTATTTGAGTATAAAATAGATTAAAAAATAGAAACCATAGTCAGCTGATGATGAGTATTTCATGAGGGGACGGGGATGAGGTGACAGACAAAGTATGATGCAACATTCGAACGAGATTTTTCAACTGATGTGTTCAGATGACGAAGGTCAACCGGTGGGATATGATATGGGTGTACATGTGAGAAAAATTATCACAGGTGAAAGAGTGGAGATGAGAGGGGAAAAAGGGGAGAGAAATAGAAATCCGAAAGTATGTGGTCGTATGTCATCCTATTGGTGAGTTGTTCTGACAATTCAGTTACAGGCCAGTCTATAAAAATGCATGGGGACTGGAGAGGAGAGATACGCGCAGTTCCCCGGGCAGCTCATAGACCTCGTTGGGAACGCTCACACCGGTGGACGGGGGAATCGGAGGGTATGTAACGGGTGGTAGATGTATCGCCAAAACACCGTCTCTTCAATGCAATAGGACCGGGAGAAGAAGGTTGCGCAGTGCGGTATTCGGTGTAGACAAAGCCAAAGGAGAAGGAGTAAAAGCAACAATAGCGTTGCCAGGAACGGGAGCAGATAGCGACAGCAGTTTGGACATCGAGATAATCGGCTGGGAGAGAACGAAAATGAGGTGGCAAGTTTGTAAAAAAAAGGAACCTCTCGCGCTACACGATTGGCTGCTAGTGACACAGATGTTAGAAATTGGACGAGCATTCGGTAGAGGTTGAACTGAAAGATCCAAGTATTCACACACACACACACACACGGAATGGATGAAAAGAGGCGTCTGAGGGTGTATCCGATAGCTTAGTTGGAAGACAACCCGACCTGTAAGTACTGGACTTCTCATCGCAACATCATCGCATTGTTTCAGCGATGTTCCGCGAAAGACCACCGGTGAGGTGAGCTCTGTTGCTAAGCTAAATACCTACTATTGATCCATTCCAGTTACCAATCAAAAAGAAAGTGAGACTGGAAAATGTTTGGGAGTGAGACTGGAAGTGAGACTGGACTAATGTATATTAATTTGGCTCGTCCAACGAGTGCACAATTTGAGTTCATCTAAAATGACCAAAATGTTACCTCATCTTAGCGCATCAAGTTGATTTTTTTAACTCTTACTGCTGTAATATAAAAAAGATTGGAGCATAGTTCACAGTAGGTGTTTATTACTAAATGCAGTAATGGACTTACTATTTTGCGTTGATTTCCTTTGTGTCCCCGTTTGTACTTCCCTGAAATTACGAAACCAGAAATGAGTGAGACTGAACACATGTTATGTTCGAAATGGGCGATAACAGAGTCCAATAACTGGTTGCTATGGCTTACTGGTTGAATCTCGAGATCGATTATAAGAGAATGAGTCAAAGGTATCAGCAGGTGACAAGTAACTCGTGTGATAGACACTAGGGGAGATTCACGCATATGATGCCTGCCGATTTGTGTCCGAATCTTGTGATCACTTTCCTGAAAGTTCTGCCCTCATTGTAAGTTTTTCAGGATAGAACCCCCCCCCCC